ATGCATATCACTATATAAATTTTAATATTTTTCTAAAATTCTGATCATAATGAAATTTTAGATATGTATACTAAAACAATTAAAAAATATATAAAAAATATTTTCCAAAATATTAAATGACTGAAATACACCTGAAAAATGATGGGGGTAATTTGGTCATTTTAAATTATTGAAAATATTTTTTATATTTTTATATGGTGCACAATAGTGTTAGGTATATAAACCCAAAATTTCATCTTAATCATATTTATAAAAAAAATTAAAATTAAAATAGTGATATATATTTTGAACCATTGGATAAAAATTTGACAGCTGAGATTTCATATATATATATATAATGAAACCATTAACCTAATGTACAAGGATGTCACAATTGCCTATGACCATCCGATGTGAAATTCGATGGCTTGAGTGCGTTACAAAGTTCAAGAATTTTTTTAAAATTTTGTACTAGGTCAATGGAATAAATGCAATCACCTAATTTCAATTTCAAAGGTCAAGATTAATAGCGACCACCTTGTATAAAATATAAATAGTCTCATTGTACGCTTTTCTTATATGGGGAATGATCTTATGTCACCATATCATTGTAATAATGAAACCACACTTCCAGAAAACTGTTTGTGGCATTTGTATGACTCCAAATTTTGCACACACACTTTCTTCATCCCAACAATCAATCGTAAAAAAATAAAATTTATTTTGCACCTTATATATAGTCAAAATAAGTCTCCTCCAACAATAAATCTAAACCCTCCATTTGATGAACTTCAAGATCTTGGTGAATTTTTCTTTTTTGTTATTGCTCATTAAAATGAAAAGAGTGTATGGCTTAAAATTTGGGTCTAAGAACATGAACAAGTTGTAACAAGAACAAGAACAGGATTGGTATTCTTGAAAAGAACAGACTGCATGGCGTCCTAATGAGATCCATCAACAGATTTAGGTCTCTGCCGTGCAATGTGTACAGCAAGCAGAAAATGTTATTTTTTTATAATTTATGTTGTAGCCACTGTTCAACCGATGAAAAGTACTGTCACATCTCTGTCCATCAACATTTGGTCCCATGGCCAATTAAAACAATTTGGTCCCATGGGACCGCCATAGCGGCCCATTTGAAGATCCATTAAATGTTTATAAAATGGATTTTGGTGATATTCCATTTCGATGTAAGCCTTAAATTTAGTTCTTGATGTGCAATTATGAAAATAAGCACTCTTTATGCTGATCAAGTGGAATGGTATCCATAGTTTTCTTAATAGTAGTGAGAGTTTTGTTTTTCTTGTACGAGGCTAAAATGGGACCTATTCGCAGGTTTTTTCCAATTGGATAAGCTTTTTATGTTTCCTCAACTGCATAAAATTTATATACTCCTCCCCGTCCAACAATTCATTCTGAATGGACGGTTAAGATGGTTCCAATCACAATGTCCCGTCTCTATACTATTTTATTTTGAATTTTGTTTTTGCAAAATATTTTGACTCCAAATTTTGGGTGTCAACTCCTCTCTTAAAATCACACTTGTAAAAATATAAAAAAATATTATCAATAAAATAAAATTACAAAAATACCCCAAAAAATCTCAAAGGTTATTTTGATTATTATATTTTATCAAAAAAATATTTTTAATATTTTTAAAAAAATATTTTTAATATTTTTTAAAAAATATTTTTAATATTTTTTTTAAGTACGGCCTCTTGTGATGATAACATGTACCAAATTTCATATCTATATAATTTGTAGAAAAAACTAAAAATAAAATAGAGTATGCCAGAGCGTATGCATGTTTGTGTGTGCGGCTTAATTTGTTTCGCTAGTCATGATTCTCGAACTTAAGGTGTAACCAGCACACATGCATGTAATAATGAAATAATAGAAATCTAAATATGGATAAGATTATATGCTAGAGCTAGAGTAAATTATACGAGTTTGTACATTTGCTCCTTGGGCATACCCTAGCTATTTTTGGCCTAAAATTTTAAACATGTAACCTACTTAACTTAGACCAACCTAAAAAACCACCTAGATTATCTCAAAATAAATCATGGCCATATGATTCAACAAAGGCCATTAGATCTAGGTGTTTAGGAACCCAAAACTCTTTTTTCTTTTAATACTCATTTAGTGATTCTAATATGAATCCTAAATTCTTATAAAAAAGACATCGGTTGGGACAAGCCTTTAGAGTAGGAAAACTCACGTAAATTTTGTCCAAAGAGTTGCGAATTATAAGGTGCCCAAACTCAAACAATAAGTACAAGGGAAGTAAATGAAGTTTGTTCAAGGGAGCGTATGTTAATATGAATATGAGAGGTAGCCCACAGAATATGTTTTTGATAAATTTATCAAAATACCCTTAAGAGAAACTATTCAACATTTTACCCATTTTGCAACTATTCCAAGATCATTGGTCTTTTGATAGGTATTTTGAAATTTAAAAAAAAAGTTGATCTCTCATGGGTAATTGGATAAATTTCCCTACATTTTTTGGTCCAAATTATCACATATTTCATCAAGGGAAAATATCCCTATACCCCATATTTTTTATTTTCATATCTGAATAGACCAAAGAGTTAAAATATATCTCGTAATCCCCTTACCAACTTTACCCACTTTTATCTATTTTTTTAGACCTAACAAATATATAAAGGACATACTCATTCTAAATCCTTCATCTTTTTATGTGATATATTCTCCCAAATTTCTCTCTTTCTCTCTCTTCCTTGAGATTCTCCCTTTCTTTTTCTCTCTTTGTATTTTCCCCCACTTTCCATCTCTAGATCGCTTTTTCTCTCTCTACCCGTGTTTCCTAAAACCCCTCTCTCTCATTTTGGATTACAAAAACAGGTACAATGTACATACAGTTAATCATCCATGCGAATAATATCCAACCAATCAATAGAAAAAATCCACAAAAATCAAACAAATATATAAAAAAAAATACACGATGAAGTGAAAAAGAGGAGGAAAATAAAAAGAGATAGAGGGTTTGGAAAAAAATCATGAAGAGAAATTTAAAAGAAAATCACGTGAAGAGAGAAATGCTGATGTTTAAAAAAGTCATGTCTTTATTATATTTATTTGGAGCAAAAAAAGATAAAATTAACTTAAGGTTTAGAAGATACAAGGACTTTTTATGACCAGGTCTACTGAGATATAAAGCTATGGAGATATTTTCCCTTTCATCAAACCTATTTACTTTTGCGGTGTCTTGGGTCAGCACGATAATCATGTCAAAGCATTTTCGTATTTTCAATAAAGGTTTCCTATATCATATTTCACAAAATTATACTTTATATTCCTTTACTATGCTTGCATATCGGTTTCAAACCACTGTATCAAAACCCAGAATCCAGCCCCAACTCGCAAGGGTCTGATTATGATTTGAATGTCCGATTCTGGTAATTCCAAAACTAGATCGTGCCATATTTAATAAGAAATTAAAAAAAGAATGCTAAAAAACCATCGAACTAGGCAATTTTGGGGCTTCCTCGAACCATTGCCTTGCTCAGAACCCCATTTGATTTGGGTAAATTCTGACCCATTTGATTTGGGTAAATTCTGAATCAGATCGTCGATTTTTTCTGAGATTCAAACAGCAGGGTAGTTGCTCCTCAGCCAACCAATGCGAACAAATGGCAAAGGGAGAGACATTCTTATGCCCATCATTAAGAAGAATAGGGTACCAACTCAATTGTCTGATGCAAACAATGGGCAGTCAACGAGGGTTGTCACTTGGCTCAAAGATTGTCAAGCTCTATACTATGAGCAGAGGCACAACAGCCATGGAACTCGTTTCTAAGAGACTGAGCAAAGGTACAACAACGCTCAACTGTCTGAAGCCGAAAACAGGAGGTCAGGGAGCTGCTAACACAAGTTTCGCACCCCAAAAAATTAACCCAACTTTGCAGCTTTCTTGAAAGAAGTATTATTCAAGGGAGCAACACCTAGGGCACCGACTTAGCATTATATTTAGGTTCAACCAAATCCCCCTAGGGCATCGACTTAGTACTATATTTTTCCTTCTAAAATGAATGACTTCATTCGTATTCCCTGCTTTCTCTCTCCTAGAAAACCACTTTAGAAGTTTTCTTTATCAAACTCCTTTTTCATGGGCTTCTTCAAATCCAAGAAAATTCTGTGCCAAATTTGAGTCTAAGGTCCAAAATGAGGGACAGCAGATAACTGCCATAGTTTGGCCTTCGGAGGACCAAATGTTTTTCCTGTTCTCTTCTAACATACGTTTATAATTAGACATGCATGATTTTTGTAGACGTCACTGTAGGGACATATGTCAGGCCATATTGGAATTTAGGTTGAAGTACTAAAGAAAAACTTGACACCGACACTAGTACCAGTATCCAATGTAACTCTCATGGTAAGTAACAGATCCATGCAAAAAAGAAAATACCGATTTTGATATGAAATACCCCATATCGCTTCAATTTTTTGTGTTTGAACATCGCCGATATGTTTACTTAAAATTTCTGGTTTTGGCATTATTCAAGCTTAAACATTGTGATGACATGATAAACCATATATTGATGCAAAGTTCTAGAGAAGGAATCAAGAAAATCCGATTGATACAAAAACTTCAAAGAAAAAAAAAAAAACAAAAAACAATCAACTAAAGCATTAGAGCACAAAAATCTCTTTTACCTAAATGTCTTCCTCCTTCATATCCATACTAGCAGCAACCTCAGAATCATGGAAGTCATATTCATAGTCCTCGTCGAGATCTTCCATTGTCTTCCCAAAAACAAAGGGCTTCTTTCCCATCGTCGTAAAAGGCATTAAACCAAAAGCACGAGCGGTCTTGATTTCACGAGCAACCCTCCTCTGCGCCTTTGCGCTAATTTTTGTCTGTACCATGGGTGGAGGATCAATAAAAGAAAAATATCATATGAGCTCATATAAGAAACCAGTTTTGTTGAGGAGATATCTATGTACTTTACCTTGCTCCTTTGAATGATGATTCCAGCTTCTGTAAGGAATTTGGCAAGGAATCTGACATTCTGCAACAGGAAAAGTTTCCATAAAATACGGTCATAGGAGCAACGATAAGCACAGAACACCATAAAGTAAGACTATAAGCACAGAACACCATAAAGTAACACCATAGGAGCAACGATAAGCACAGAACACCATAAAGTAACACCATATATTTTTAAATCACATGAAGAAATCCAAAAAAATTCAAAGCATTATAAAGTGCCCAAACTTTACATTGATTATGTACGTTATGGCGTTTCTTCAGAGACATCCAACAAAATGGGAATGATATATGTTTAAATCACAGTTACCTTCAAACAATGGAAACCATAATTTTTCTTATTGTACTTCAATATCTTATGATTTGAATGAATCACACAACTCATGCACTTAATTCCTCATGACCTTGATATATAGGATCCATATGAATTTCCATGCCATTGGTATCTTCATATGTTATATCATACATGAAAAAGAATGGACCTTAAGACAATCAACTTCAAAGTATATTCTAGACAAAAGCACATAACAATCTAATGTTTGGACTGTTGTTAAAGAATGTGGAAAGTGCCATCCAGGTGGGTAGAGATCCTGGCTCCTACAAGGCACCTTGGCCGCCTCATTTTGTGCCTTAAATATATATATATATATATATATATATATGGAAGCATCTACAAAACGCCTATAGGTGAAATTCTACAGTACTCCACTTACACATCATCACTATCCAAAGTTCATCACACGGTCACAATTGTCCGTTAGCATTTGAATTTTTATAATTATTTCATTAAAGATTTATCTAAAATTTGGAGTGTGCATACATATGATCAAGTCGCACCAAAATAAAATATTAAAAAAATAATAGTCATAAAATAAAATGACAAAATTACCCCTGAAACTTTATAGGGGTATTTTGTGTAATTTTTATCATTCAAATTATTATTTTTATATTTTATTCATGTGCATCTCACTAAGGCGCACACACCTACAAAATTTCTGATCATTATGATTTGTACAAAAAAAATATTAAAATTCAAACATTATTAGACATCTGTGACCATGTGATAAACTTTGAACGGTGATAAAGCCGTAGGTGAAGTACTGTAGAACTTCACCTATAGGCGTTTTGTAGTGTTTTGCTATATATATATATATAGCGACCAAGTTACTATAATTTATTTTTCCTCCCTCGTGTTAAGCTTATGAATTTTTAATAATAAATGATTAGCTGCAAAAGGATTTTTTTTAAGTGAACGTGACATAGTGAAGAACTCCTCCTTTTCTTTTTTTATTTTCTTATGTCGTTCGCCCTACTTGTTCTATTTACGACGACGAAGAATGAAACTATCACTATATTTCTTCTTTTTCCTACTTCTTCTTCCAAGTGTGGGAGTTGTGGGTTTTTCTTACCAATTGGGGCCCTCCCTTCACCACCCCCATGGGGATGGTCTACAGGGGGATATATATATATATATAGCGAGAGAAAGAGAGAGAGAGAAAGAGTTAAAAGGGGGGGGGAGCAACTAGGGCCCCGAAGCCCCTAGATGCCGTCCTACTCATAGGTCATAGGTGAGGTACCTAAGGCCTTGGCCAGCCTCAAGGTCTACCTGGGCACCAAGGTAGGTGCAGGCTGACTTTTAAAAGACTGGTTTGGAACAAACAGTAGTTTCCAAAGCTGCAAACAGATCCTCCCATTAGGATTAATCATATCAACAGCTGGCACTATCTTAGGACCATAGTTGCCAATATACATCTTTCAAGTACCTGCACTGGTATTGGTTTGCCAGGATGAAAAAGGTTTGAGGTACATTTCATTTAGTGCACCTACAGTACAATAAGGCTATGACAACAGTATGACATGAGTACCGCAATAATAAAAGGCAACGATGAGATTGGTATGGCCTAAATATAGAAGTTGATGATGATGATATGACATTGGGACCTTAGACCTATTTATATATAAGCTCAAACAAGCACTAACAGAAATCATATTCTATAAATATCATATCATATTCGCAATAAAATGATGTATGAGCATGTAATATTACTTTCCATAAAACATATAATAATATATAATGCATTCTCGGAACTCGGAAGTTTGCATCATTAGAGTAGTGGTATCAACGCAAATGATAAAATACCAACACCAAATACCTGATCTCTTAGGATAATTATAAATATAGAAATTCCATCCAAAAAAAGATATATAATACAAAAAAAGGTATGATCATAGTATAATATATCTAAAATATGTCAACAGAGAGAGAGAGGAGGAGGGAGGGAGAAGTACAGGTGATTTTATAGACAATTCCCCTTGATCTGGACCATACCAAGCCAACTGATCAATGAGAGTAAGGTTGTTCGATTCTATTCAGAAGAACAGGGAAGTGTTCATTGATGCATCTCCTGCAAAGCAATTTGAATAAGGAGAAAGGTGGATCAAATGATCCTTTAGAATAGTTCAAAGAATTCATGCATGAATCCGAAGTGCACAAACCAAGGAATGGGGACATTAAGTCTAAATTAAATGAAGCCAATATGTATAATATTGTGTCAGTTAGGATGGGGTTAGCTTATCAGATGGTTGGAATGCAATAAGGCCGTCCCACTTGTCAATGCACTAGAATGGGTACGACAAAAAGTAATATTCTTATGTTGAATCATCTTCAGTACAGGGGCGTTGTGTCAGCCAATATGCACTCCTTGAATGTAATTAGGTGGATTGGAGGGGACATTTTAGCTAGTCCTATGATAACTTGGGGAACTTTCGTGCAAAACCACAGGAGGTATTGTTCAATATGTGTGCGATGTTGGAAGTAATTACATGGGAGACGGACGTAGTAATATGGGTTTTGGTATTGATGGATGGGCATATCAAATGTTTTCTGCCGTGAATTTCTTTCCCTCCCTTAGACGAACTTCTTTATTGTAATGCTTTTCTTGTAAATGAATCATTGCATGATGATGAGATTTCATTTTATCTTTGAAGCAAATGGCTAAAGATCATAAAGAATATCAATTTCAAAAAAGGATCTATCCATGGTTTACAACTTTTAACTGTTTTTCACAATCGGATGATTTTTCAGTTTGAACGCAAATAACAAGAGTAAATTTTTTGCTGAATCAGTAGATTCATCGAAAGAAATCAGACAAAGGAATGACCTGATTTTGACAACATTTATGCAGTGCCATTCTTTTTTCTTCTTCTTTTTGGGGTAATTCAGTGGGGAAGACAGGCCCCTACCCCTTTTTTTCAATAGATTAGGGAGTTACCATTTGAAGGTGTTAATTGGGGGTGTCAGCGGTAGGAATGGATACCACAATGTGGTAACTGGGTGTGGGATGCCACCACCACGACCCCAGCCCCTTTCCTTATGCAGTGGCATTCAATATACACTTAGAGCCTCTAAGTACTAACTAATTGACCCAAATTACTGCATAGGACTCATCTAACCAAAGTAATGTCACCAGGTAAAATATTAGGGATCATCACACCAGCATGATCGATTCCCTCAAATAAAAAAATGTGCATTCTGTGCCACCAGTAACCAAATTTAAGAGAGGGATTGTGATATGAAATCTTGTCAGTTAATGGGCCCCAAAGTCCTCAATAATTTGCACAAATTTCAATTCATGCTATTTACCTACCATATTACAGATCTTCTCTGAGATTAACACCCAACTTGAGCACAAGCTGGATAGCAAGATCCTCATGGGCGAAGGCAAAACCATCAAATATCTTGCTTATCTCTCACAAGAGCACTGAGCACAAATCTCAAAGAAAGCATAACCACTTTAGTCACTAACTGAAAATAATATGACAAGAAGCTTCTATAACCTGCCCCTCCATCTATCGACCAAACTTTCCATTGGTCACCTATCTATCATTTATGAATACTTCTCTTCATTTGCCCATAAACAGGAACATCAAGAGTATCATAGTTTTACTCAGTGATGACAGTTTGGCTGAAAAGTTCTATAAACCTGTCCACCAAACTATTGATCAAAGTTTCAATTCGTCCTTTGTAAATGAAACATCTCCTGTAGTTTGGAGAAGAGGAGGTATAGTTAACTAATACAGGTCAAATGAGACCTGTCCTCGATGAAATACTAAGACCTGTCCTCAATGAAGTTTAATGGAGTTCAAATTATGAACCCCTATGAGACCAACCCTTCTATCATCATGAACCAGCCCCTGAATAAACAAAAAGAGGCATCTAACTCATTGCTTATCCCTAGGACCCATTTCCATGCTCCTGCAACTGCCCAAGGGACATGGCACTTGCAGCGAATCCAACAAATGATAATTGAGTGAGTTGTCCACTACTGGCTAGTCAGTCAGGCAGCATTTTGTACATGACAAGAAACCACCTTCCTTTGCGATGCAAATAGAAGAACCCTGATCCAACAACTGAAAGAAAAACTGACTTCAGGATTCGCCGAAGCCAAAGAGTTCCCATGATGTTGAAAAATGTAAAAAAAAAAAATCCAAATATCAAAAAGTTATAAAAAAAAAATATGTTTGGTGCAATCATGGCAATAAATTCCAAAGGTATTCAAGCATTAGTTAGACAAGGCAGAGACTGAAATTCAAGATAACTAAAGGTGAAGATTCACATAGCTCAATTGGAAATCAGATACAAATACTCAGATATAATTAGAAAAGGAGAAGATTGATATACTCACCCGGAAATCAGCTTTCTTCAGAACTTCTTTTGTTGTTACCTCAAATTCTGCCCTCGGGGGACTTCTAGGTGCTGCAGGCTTTGTGAGATCGAGATCCTATATACAAAATGACATGTATAGGCCTTAGAGATTAAAGTTAAAAATCAGTAGAATAATAGCAAACCATAAAAAAATAATTAAATTATTAGTGTATTACAAATTTATAACAATGAAATCCAAACAAGTTAAGACCTAAAAAATGCAAAAAAATAATCTTTCTGCTAAATGCAAGCCTAGATGATCAAGATCCAAAGATATTCTTGTGAATCAGAAGCATGATGGACACAATTATCAAGGTCCAAAAGTATTGAAAAGCAGATAAAGCTGTATGAGAACTCCAAGAAATTGCAGAATTTCATGGCCCAAAATATTTCTTTTGCAGATTTCCATAGCCAGAAAATTTCAAAATCAAGTTTAAGCAGAGCTGTTAGATTGCAGCTCTGCCCAAGACCCAAGCCCCTACATAGATATATGTGCCTTAGAGATTGGGGTTTGGGAAAGCAATAAGAAATGCGTGAAATACCCTGAACCAACAAGATATAGAAACTTCAAAAGGCAAGGCATTGTCATCAATAAGTAAGACCATATTGAAGGAAAAAATATATAGAAACTTCAAAAGGCAAGGCATTGTCATCAATAAGTAAAGACCATATTGAAGGAAAAAAGAGATCCCAAAAAGCAAACTTTGGTCCTCAAGGATTTCATTTTCGACCCAATAGTGAAAGCCAAAAGAGGAAATAAATGATTTACTTTCAAATTTCAATAAAGATACTCAAGAGTTGCCAGATATTTTTCCAAATTCATCTTGTCTTCAACATAAGTTACATCTCATGATTACGTTTCATGGAGTAAAATAGTTCGTCTTTTGACTGATTGATCAGGTTTTGAAATAGAGGGTTTATACAGCGAGGCAAAGGAAAATACAGGAATCTCGGCCATGTCATCATCATTAAAGCCTTTTCCCAACGAGTTAGGGTCGGCTACACGAATCCCGGTCTGCCATTCTGCTCTAATAAAGGCTATATCCTCCGTGAGGCCATAAGCCTCCATATCTTCTTTCACTCTCCACCTTTCGTTGACCTCCTCAACGTCTTCATCCCTCACCAAGACCCTTGATCCTCACTTCTTATGGGGAACACCCTAGCATAAACAATAGTGTATATTCTAGATTCATAAGAAGTTTTGGCAAAGTTTTATGTTGGCTGCCTACCTTATACAACCCACCCCCTTTACCCGGGCTTGAGACGGGTTAAGGGAAAGTTTAAGATCCTCACCCTTTCTTGGACCATATCGGCCATGTCATGTTCATAAAGAGCAACTATGCTCGATATCTCCACTGCAAAACTTGGAGGGTTACCATGTAATATGAATCAAATGTCTTCTGCACGAGCAGTGTTTCCGATTAGGTTTTCTACCAATGGATATACATGAATTTCAACCCTCTAGTGATGTTTTATCATGCACATAATTCTCCTTAGATGCTTTTCTTAACTGTATTCTGTAATCTGGCTGCTAAAACGATCGAGATCTTAGAAAATTAGTATTTTTTTTTCCTATTTTTTAAAGTTTCAAGGAAACCAGTTTTACATTAGACAATGACTCAATTGCAAAGAATTGGGTACATCAACTTTAACAATCATGTGTTTCACTAGACCAAAAAGGTATCAAAGCAGTGAATCAGTGGCAACACAAATAATGATCAGATAAAGACGTGCATATGTAAATCCCATAAATCATGGCGGATTCTCATACCTTAGTAGTATATGTCATACCACGAACGAACCTAACATCTGGTCTGAAAGAATAATCTTCATGACTAATCTCATCAGTATATGGATACGACATAGCAGCTTCCTTCAACTTCCCATCCATTCCATCCGACAAAGTATTGAAGGCATCCATTCCATCTAAGCCCTCATCAAATCCTTGATTGTCCCCACCTTTTCTCACAGAGCCAAAACCACCTCTTCCACGGGCATTCTCAAGTCTGTCAAACTTTGCAAAGATGGAATCAGTCCTTGGATTATTATCATCAATTCCACTAAATATCCGACGCTCAAACTCATCTGCCGTCTCAAATGAACCATCGCTGCCATTCTCATGTGGGATATCACCTGTTTCGAAAATAAAAACACAAATAAGGTGAAATAGTAGATAGCTCCTTACCTCACGATGATCTTAGAATGAATGCGATGCTGGAGAGAATTCATGCATTCCACCTGATAAAATACCCAAAATAAAGAATTTCCACATAATGAATGCAAAATAACAATTTCCCCTTCATGCATTTGGTCATAGAAGCTTCACTTCTCAAGACCATGATAACACACACACACACACACATACTCACACACACACATATACTCACATACACACACACACACACACACAGTAACTACACCACCAATATAATATGCAATGTTTAAAAAAACAATCTGCCGGCGCCCAGAAAAAAATTTCCGCACGCCTCAACATGAGCGCCCCAACATGGGCGGCTGTACCTGGGCGGGCGCGTAGTGCCCAGTTCTAGGTGGGCGCCCAGCATAGTTTACGTTGTTTTCTTTTTAAACTTCACCCAAAAGGGTAAAGGGGGTCATTTTGACCCCCAAGTTTGTATAAACGAAGTTTAGGGGTTTATTTTTCAACTTCAAACTGACAAAAAAAACAAGAAACCCTCAATCTTAAACTTCTTTATGAGAATCTAAAGCAATTGCCGAGAATCGAAAGTACTTCTTGTGGATCAAAAAAGTTTGTTTTTATGATTGAAATTATTTTTAGGGTGCTATTGGTGGTATTAGAAGACTTTTGAGTTGATTCGTAGCTCGATTGAGATAACTAACATCGAAGATCAGAGATTGGGTAGAAAAGGTCAGTCTGTAATCTTTATTTGAGTTTTGTTTTTTTAATTTGAGATGTCTTCTGTGGGGTCTACTAGGGTTGGAGATCCAGGATGGAAATATTGTGTTAACCCTGATTAGAATGACAGAAATAAAATTATGTGCAATTTCTGTGGACATGTTTCTAATGCCGGCATAAATAGATTTAAGAAACATCTTGCCGGTATTAGAGGTGAAGTTGCCCCATGTAAAAAGGTCCCAAATCTTGTAAAGAAAGAAATTTCGGAGTATATTGAAGCTGAAAAGAGTAACAATATTGCAAAAAATAGGATATAGCAGAATTAAAGTCAGGGGTTCATATTTTTTATGATAATATTGAAACTGAAGAAGAGGATGATAAAGAGGGGAAAGAAGAGGTAGCCATGGTTAGCACTCAAAGCTCTAAGACCAAGAGGGCTTTTGGGTCTAAGAAGGCTCGTACGAGAGGGCCTATAGATAGTTTTTTACACCTAACCCCTGAGACAATAATTGAAAAAGGCAAGGGAAAGGGGAAAAAACAGGTGACAATTGAAAATAGGTTTAAAAGGAAGATAGAGCCAGGGTGATTCAGTATATTGCTCGGTGGTTTTACCATGCGAGCATTTCTTTTAACATTGCTCGCTTGAATAGCTTCATACAATGATAGAAGTAATTTGACAATTTGGGACAGGTTTGAAATCACCAACTCCTTATGAGATTGGAGAGCCACTACTGAAGAAAGAAGTCGAGTACACCAACGAATATCTCAAGACTCATAAGGAAGGATGGGCTAAATTCGAGGTTTCTTTGATGACAGATATGCGGAGTGATAGGAGGAGGAGTGACATGAATTTATTAGTAAATTGTCCCACGGGTACAGTTTTTTTACGCTCAATCGATGCTTCCAATGATGTTCATGATGCGCATTATATATTTTCTTTCATTGATAAGGGCATTGAGGAGGTTGGGGAGCAACTTGTAATTCAAGTGGTCACAAATAATGCTGCTCCCAATCTAGCTGCAGGTCATTTGCTTCGATAAAAGAGGCCTCGCATGTTTTGGACTCCCGTAGATCTTATGCTTGAGGGAATTGGTGAATTGCCTCCTATTAAAGGAATTATTTTTAAGGCTAAGGAGGTTACAATCTTCATATACAGTCACATAGTTACCTTTAGCATGATACGCAAGTTTACAAAAAAGAGAGAGCTATTGAGGTCAGGGGTCACTAGATTTACCACTGCCTACCTTAGTCTACAGAGCATGTATAAGAGGAGGATCGCATTAAGGTCTATGTTTGCTTCAGAGGAGTGGAGTAGGTGCAAGTGGTCTAGAGATGCCAACGGAAAGAAGACACGAGATATTATTCTTTCGAAATATTTTTAAGCGTGGGTTAAAGCATGCGATATTAGTATTTCTTCCCTTAGTGAAGGTCTTGCGCTTGGTTGATGCTGATAAGCCCTCCATGGGCTTTATATATGATGCAATGGAAAGGGCTAAGAATGAGATTACAGAGAATTTCGGCAATGATGCAGCGAAGTATCCCCCACTTTGGGAGATTATAGATGACAAAAGGGATAGGCAGCTCCATAGACCATTGCATGCAGCGAGGCACTACTTGAACCCCAAATTATTTTATGCAAATGCACATATTGAGTCAAAAGGGGTAATTATGGATGGTTTTAATGGGTGCCTTGAGAAATTAGTTCCTGATCCAAATATCCAAGATAAGATAACAACTGAAGAGCTAATTTCATACAAGTGTTCTTTGATGTCATTTGGGAAAGATATGACATTAAGGCAGAGAAACAAAGACGAACCAGGTAATATTCTTTTGACTTATGTAATTTTGTTTTATAAAATATAAATTTATAATTTTCTTTCAAGTTCTGAAAATGTTAAATACCTAAATTAATTATAAAGGTTGCCCACATATTGCAGCCCAATGGTGGAAACAACAAGAGAGTAGCGCTCCAAACCTCCAGAAGATGGCTATGCAGATCTTGAGTTTAACAACTACCTCTTCAGGTTGTGAGCGCAATTGGAGTTCGTTTGAGATGATATTTTACTATTTTATATGATGTTTTTGTTTATGAGTTCATTTTGTAATATAGATTTATAAAAGGTAAGAAGATCATAGACCCATAGTAGTTACTTATGCATTATTTTTCCTTATAGGTGCATACAAAGAGAAGAAATAGGCTTGAGCTAAGGAAGCTCAATGACTTGGTCTTTGTTAGAGAATCAAATGCTCAAGGAGGAAAACCAGCCAAAAAAGGACCCTATCTCTTCGAAAGACATGGAGAATGCTTCAAATTGGCTAGTTAGTGACCCTAGTACTGAGGAGGTCTTCCCTGGGGAGGACGCGGGAAATGGTCAAGGAGGTTTCGGGGCAAGCTTCTAATCCTAGGAGGGCCACTCGAGCAACTTCTTCTGCTGGTACTTCATGGAGGAAGAAAGAGGAAGAGGAGGCAGATTCAGAAGAACCTCTGGAAGAAGAGGAATACGTTGAAGAGGGTGATGATTCTGATGATGACGACCTCAATTCTGATGCAGATGAAAGTAATGAAGATGATGATTCTGATTCTTATTGATGTCTTGATTGTCTTCTCTCCTCTTTTGAAGTAACTTTAATACTTTATTGCACCATCTTGATTTGGGCTTTAGACATTTGGAATTTGGACAATTTTTATTTAGTTGTGGTTTGTAATTTTTTTGCCTTTTTGGACTATTTCGTTGTGTGGTTTACTGGTTTTTTTATAGTTTTGGAAGTCAGTTTGTTGATGGCTTGGAGAGTTGGAGACTTGGATGTTATTATGGTTTATTTTATGGATATGGAATATGGAGAATATGAGAGTTGGAGACCTTACAATAGCCTATTAGACTTTTAAATGTTTTGTATGGTTTGAAATTTTGAATAAGTTTATTCTCAACCTGATTACCTGAGAAGCTGAGACATGTGATATGTTTGTATATAAAAACGTATGTTGCGAACTTGCGATATTTTCAATTTTAAATGGAATAAATTACAAAATTTGACACAAATATATGCATATATGTGCATTTGGATAGCAAATATATAAAAAAAACTAAGAATTTGCACTGCAAGGCGCCCGAGGTTCAGGGCGCCCGCCTAGACGCTGGGCGCCAGATGGGCCGCCTAGAGGCCACCTAGCATTTTTTGAAACCTTGATAATATGTCATAAGTAATCATTTAATACTAATTTTTTTATAGCATACTATGCACACTGAGAAATGGGTATCTGATATAAGTTCATATCCACCATCCAGTCTCAATGAAGAGCCATGGAGATGATCCGCTTCTCCTCCTGATGGATGATGGGGGAGTTTGAGTGGAGAAGTACTCATTGCCAACTTTGCCACTAAGAAGGAATGGTAGAGATGGAACTAAATCATACATAGCCATCCCAATGGACTTCAATGATTTTAGATATATTTCCTTTTTTTATAGCACCATCCAGAACTCAAAATTATGATCCCTTGCATTTAAAATCCCGATGGACTTCAATGATTCTAGACATTTCCAAAAAAATAGGGATGATAAAATGATATTATATTATAACATGACCATAATGGCCATCATGACAATCATAAAAATAACATATAACTCCATGAAACAATTATTGAATTAACTTGAATCAAGTGAACCTACAACAAAGGGAGATAACATAGTCACAATTAAAATTCTATAGGAAATGGCTAGGATCTATGACCTATATCTACAGTTATGCTGATCAATAACATAATCAAAACTTTGTTTTAGTTCATATTCCAATTCAGTTCTTTGGGATCAAATAAAACTGGAAATTAACAAGAAAATAATATTTTGAATCGAAGCAACTAAGAGGAAACTAACCAACATTGCAGCTTGTATTGATGCTTCTCAGAGACCACGAAAGACAGGGTTGATGAGGAAAGCGGTTAAAAGCTCGTGATATCATCATAGCAATGTGTTTCATTTCTGCAATAAATCAGAAGAACAATGTGAGATATGATTATTTGACAATTTCGCTATACATATCTACACAGGAAGTTGCTTAGAACTGACTGTTTGTTCTTTTATTTTTTACTTTTTTCGCTTTAGAGATTTCCCTCTCTTCTAACCCTGCCTTGGGTATCTGCCAAGGCAGCCGAAGGCCCATCACTGTTTGGTTTTGCCATGGCACTGAAAGGAGAGAGAGAACCCCTTTACAGTTGGGTCTTTGTCATCCAAAGGAGAAGGAGAGAGGGATGGAGAGATGAACAGTCATTCACAGTTGGGTTCTTGGTTATTCATTGCCAGGGCAACCAAAATGAGAAGAGAGAGACTCCATCGTTGGCTCTTTGGCACCCAAAGGGGAGAAAGAGCCTCCATAGTTGGATCTGGGCACCCAAAGGGAGAGAAATGGATCATCCACAGAGGGGAGAGAAAAGTTCCAAGCAGTTGGGGTTTTTAACAAAGCCAAATAGAAAACTGATTTTTGCTCCTTGCTAGTTTGACGCTCACCTTCACCTCCATGGAGGGAATGCAGCCGTGCTGTTAAAGAGAGCAAAGGGGAAAGTGAAATGGGACAGCAGTAGAGAGAGAAAGTGGGAGAGAAACCCAGGAGTGTTTTTCGTGGGGAGGGAGAAGGGCAAGAAAGTAAAAGAATAATCTAAGTCGAACGATATTGAAACTAATCAGTTGCAAAATTTATTAGACGTGATGAAATTTAAAACTGACGGTTCAAAAGTCACATACACACTACCAAAGTTTTAAAAATACCCATGATGTGGAATTATGTGGACGGGACATAAAATGAGGAGTTAGAATAGGAAAAGTGTTAACATTCTCAAAAAAAAAAGGGAAAAGTGTTATATGCATCGAGGAACGCATTCCTACATTCATGTTCCTGGAGACATAAATCATCCACCGAAAGATGGATGTGTCCCTCAAAGAAAAACTAAAAACAACTGGTCTAAATATTTCCTTTAAAAAATTATCATTTTTAGCTTTTTAAAATTTATTTTTTTACATATTAATGATCCCATCTCAGAGATTATATATTCCTTAAACTTTTGGGACAAAGCCCACATAAAAAATTGCTTTTAAGAGGGGGCGCATTACTACATATGAGTCTGGGACTCATGGAAAACATGTCCGAAAGAAAATGAAGAGCATATACTATGAAACTATTAGGGCCAATTTGACAAGTAGAAGTTGACAGTTCCCTAGAAGCTGGAAGTTTGGACTCCCTAAGAAGCTAGATGATCTAGCTCCTTGTACTGGAAATAATGTGTTTGATAACTTGTCTGGAATTTTGAGGGAGCCTGGAAGTTCTCAAACCTAGACACTTGGTAATTAGGCAATTTAATTGAGACCTTGAAGAATTTGTATTTGGGAGGGTAATATTTGTTCAATGAATGAGAATTTCATAGGAACACATTTACACATCTATTACTAATAATATATACCCATATGATCCAAATGAAGAAAAACTAAGTATATGCAACGACTCACGTTATAAAAGGGTCCTCTATTGCCAAGTTTATGTAGTAGTATCTAGAGAGAGAGAAATCATCATCCCTTCTATATAAGGGGGTAAAGTATCTCCGTCATCTTATTTAAACTAATGATCCAATAGTTTTTTCTATAGTTTCTAGTGAACCAATCAGTTACTGAAAATAGCAATGTACTTAACTAAATAATTTGAAGCATCAGAGTAATCAGTGCCACCAAAACATATATAAAAGACAATCCAGAGCACACTTTCATTTGCAAGAGTAAAGATAATTGCAAATAATGGTCAAATATAGAAAAAGGTAAAATCTACTGACAATAATTCAACATTCACAATGAACAAGCCCATTACAAGTGTATATTGTCATCCATTCCATTTATCTTCCAATATTTGACTCATTAAAGAGCATCCATTTGTGAAAAGCTCAAAGAGCATCCCCATGTTAAAAATCTGAAACCCTAACATTAACCACAAGTGAAAACATGTAAATTGATGCCAAAAAGGGAGCATTGATCTCAAATCAGATCAGCTGTACCTTATGATCAGCTCTGATGGCTACAGTTCCACAGTTACGGGTTGACAGAGAGATTGGCACGTGGGTATGGAGCTTATTAATAATCTGCAAGGGTAAAAAGAGGGAGTGAGCGCTAGGGAAAAGTTAGGGAGGAGAGAGAGAAGAGTGAGCACAGGAAGAGAAAGACGCAAACAAGAAACACCTGCTCGAACTTATTATACAAAGACTGTGCATCATTTTATGAGAGGTAATGGGAGAGTAATTCTGCCTCTTTTTGTTGGACACTTGTTAAGGGGAGAGAATGAGAGATGCACAATATCCCTATTGATTCCAAAGAGGACCACAGGTTTTTAACATGAAAATAGCAGAGAGAGTATTCACTCTTTCTCTATTTTTCTATACCCACATGAGAAATGTGTAAGGCTAGTATTAGGGATTGTTTGGCTGATAGATAATTTTATCTCGAGTATACTATGCCATTTAAAATTACTCTATTTCATACATTTTTTTTTTAGTGTGTTGACATTGTATTAAAGAAGAGAGAATTACAAGAGATTGATATTTAAAGAGGCAGCTCACAGACGGGTGCCCTACACAAAAAGGAATGTCCAAAAACTGCTATACAAAAGAGTAGTTAAGCCAAGGCGTAACAAAAGGGGGATGGGAGGGAAAACGCACGCTTAAAAAGGTGCTAAGGCGCTTCGCTACGTTGTGCTCAAGTTTACTGCCGATTGGAAGGCCCCTTCCTTAGCAAGTGAGTCGGCCTCAGAATTGGCTTCTCTCCGAGTGTGACTCCACAGAATACGAGTCACATTGCTAAGTTGGAGAATCTCATCAAAAACATCATCCAGCCTCCAAAGGAAGCTGTGATCTACCCGAGGCCCAAGTCAACACACTCTTGGAGTCACCTTCGACAATAAGAGTATGGCCCCAGGATGGATCAAAATGCTCGAGGCCTTCCCAGAGTGCTTGGGCTTCTACAGTGGTGAAATCAAAATGCCCAATAGGAAGGGAAAAGGAGAGAAGGATGACTTTGTCTTTGTCTCGAAATAACCCCCCGATGCCCGCAGGCCCTGGGTTACCCAAGGAGAAGCCATAAAAGTTACGCTTGATCTGGCCGGTGTTTGGGGGTCTCCACAAGGAAGCCCGAGATATTCTAAGGGATGGCAGGTTCAGCAAGGTGGACCAATTCAGATGGAAGTGGGAGACGGATAAGTGGTTAAATTGTTTGTTGTAAGTGGCCCAAGGAGTTGACCTTCTCGATCATGCACGGTGGGTTGGGCCATTGGCTACGGAATATTCTACTGTTCCTTTCATGCCATATGACCCAGAGGGTTGCAGCCACTAGGGCTGAGAATTTGTCAGATCAAGTTCGGATCCACCTAGATTCAAATCCGGATCCAAATTTTGGATCTGGATCCAAAACTATAAATAGGATCTGGATCCGAATCAGTTTTGAAGATGAGAACTTGGGTTGCCATGAAACAGAACAGGTATCCAAAATCGAAATGGGTTTTGCTCGATTTCACAAAAGAACTCACAAACAGAAATGGGCAAGCCTCAATTCATTAGAAAACCAAAGAAGTAGATGAAGCTTTTGTTCCCAAAAAAGAAAAATATTTCTGCAGTGGTAGATAAAAATAGGAAACAGGCTCAGCCTTTTAATACCTTAAAATAGAAACGATTCATGGGTTTTTGCCAATAAAAGGAACTGAAATTTGGAGCAACAAGTTTCCTTCAATGGAATATTCTCAGCCCTTGCAGCTCTCCACAAGCCAATACCCACTTTAGCTCGGGGGGCGTGGGGGAGTGAGAGCGAAAGAGATGAGGGACTGTTGGTGGGTTCACCAATTGCTAATGAGAGCGTTGAAGGAGATCAACCCAAAGGGTGGAAGCCAGCTTGCAATGGAGGAAGAGGTGGGCATTGGTCTCCTTTTCCTCCAAACGCATATACAGTGGTTAGGGATCTGCATTCCCCTCCTCTGAAGGAGGTCGACTGTGAGGGCTTTCAGAGACTAGGATCCAATTGAGGAATTGTACTTTTGGAGGAATGAAGGGGAGCCAAGCTCTGACCGTAGTGGACAGACCTGCATTGGGGGTTTAA